GAACTCAAACGCGTCTTCGTTCAATGTTGTCAACTAATATCCGGATTAATTTTATTATTTATTTTATTTTCCTCAATTCTCCGGAGAAATTTTCATAAAAATTTGAAAAACCCGGAATTCCGGGAAAATCCGGAGGACTTTCATCTCTGATAAAGCCGGGCAATGTCAAAGTGCTCCTTGCATCCTTCGATTTTTCCGCAGGCGATCCTCTAAGCCATAAGTGTCAAACTCAGGTCCTGGAGGGCCGCTGTCCTGCATGTTTTCCAAGTCTCCCTGTTGCAACACACCTGATTCAAATGATCAGATCATCAGCAAGCTCTGCGGAAGCCTGACATCGAACCTGTTCATTTGAATCAGGTGTGTTGCAACAGGGAGACTTGGAAAACATGCAGGACAGCGGCCCTCCAGGACCTGAGTTTGACACCTATGCTCTAAGCAAAAAGTTGAAACATCAATGTGTTCAGCGATGTGTCCACTGCATGTGCTATATGTACACATCCGAGAGATCCACATACTCATTGACAAGTGTAATTTAAAGGCTTAGCGATGAAGTGTTGTCTCCCGGAGAGAAAAAAGATGCCTTTACTGCATTTACTTCCACATGTTTCTGTTATATTGAACATATGTCTCAATACATTTTTTAGGTCTATTTAGTGTGTCTTATAAGGGATTTCAGAAGTGGTCTAGTTTAACTGATAACAGGATTAGTTATTGAGTCCACACCTTTAAGTGTGTACTGCAGACGCAATGTATTTACTCTGTGCGTGTGTTTGTACACGTGTTTGTGTGCCATAAAGCAAACCGTCACAGGAAAACATCCGTGTTGATGGTTGATGAGCTGCTTTCAGCGTACCCCCACCAGCTGTCCTTCTCGGAGGCCGGTATGAGAATCATGATCACCAGCCATTTCTCCCCGAGAACCCGCCTCACCATGGCCTCCCGAATGCTCATCACTGAGGTAAAGGCACACACACACACACACACACACACACACACACACACACACACACACACACACACACACACACACACACACACACACACACACACACACACACACAAACACTACTACTTTCAGTTGTCGAAAGATTGTGGCTAGTTCCAATGACATATCACGTCACACACTGCTCTTGCTATCTTTCCGATTAGATTTACCCTCATTAATTGTTCCATGTCCAACCAGTTCTTTTTACATTTCTGAGTGGCAATTGGAGATGGGATATAGAATCGTGGGTCTCTATTTTCACTCTCACCCGCATGTATCATACAGCCCACATCTCCAATTTAGAAAGTGTGTCCACATACGAAAGAGGCCGATGTGTGACATTAAAGAAGAGCATTTCATGCATTTGAGGAAAAAAAAAAATCCAAATTGAATCAAGCCACTCAGCAAAGCAGCGTTGGTCTAACTAGCCTCATAAAGTCATTTTTTTTCTTGGAAAAATGCACCTTGAAAGTAAATGGTCACAACGGATGGACTGAAATAATGACGGAAGTCTGAAGACAGACTAATGTGTCCACCACTGCTTATGTGCCTTATGAAGTTTATAAAAAGTAGTACAGTACATGCTTTCTACATGAGCTCATACATGTCGTTGTAATATGTAACATGATATTTCTGATATATGTACAGAGACAACGGCTGATCAACACACGAATTTTGACCAACGGCGACTCGGATGGGCCAGTGAAAGGAACGAGCAAGCGGGCCATAGAAAACGGGCTGACTGGAGCAGAACGCGGACTCAACATGCAGCGTGAGGATCACGAGGCAGGCAATGAGACAGAGAATGAAGACAATGAGAATAATGAAAATGATGAGGAAGAAGAAGAAGAGGATGCAGAAGGCCCTTTTGTGCCCTTCCAGTGTCCAGGTAGCTGAAACAATTCTTGTTTGTGTTCCTCAAACTAAAAGCTCCAACAACCATCCATCCATCCATTTTCCGATCCGCTGATCCTCACAAGGGTCGCGGCGGGTGTTGGAGCCTATCCCAGCCATGTTCGGGCAGTAGGCACGGGGCACCCTGAACCGGTTGCCAGCCAATCGCAGGCTCCAACAACCCAAAATCTTTATTTCTGCTCATAGCATTGATATTTATTTACCCAAAAAAGCCAAAGAACTTGCACCCTCGATGAATTTTGTGGAATTGGTAGAATCTAGGAAAACGAGTTTTTTCTTGGATTGCTCTACAAAATAATGCATTCATAGCATTAGATGATGTACTTTTTTTCATGTGTAGTATCTAGTTCCATTCAAACAAGACAATACCCATCATTGAATCATTCCCTAAAAAATGTTGAGCTGCTTCTGGAAATCCATTTTTTGTGAAATCATGTCATAATTGATCAAATGTGGAAGTTACACAATGATTGCAACCCAATAATTCGGATCTGATCAATTCAAATGTGTAAAAGTAAATCCGATTTTTGTCCAAGTATAATGTAAGTATATTGTCACGTTCTGTCATCATTTTAAAAAAATTCAGACAATTCACTGTCCTTCAATTTTCATCAGTGTATGCATACATTAATGTGTGTGTGTGTGTGTGTGTGTGTGTGTGTGTGTGTGTGTATTGCAGCCGGTATATGCAACAAATTGAAGTGGCTGCTGGCCTGGCCCCTGTGCCTAGTGCTGTACTTCACTGTGCCCAACTGTTCCACACCACGCTGGGAAAACTGGTTCATGCTGTCCTTTGTCGCCTCAACCCTGTGGATCGCAGCCTTCTCCTACATCATGGTTTGGATGGTGAGCGTTTTCAGAGTCATGCCCAACCAGAGTTCCAAATACATTTGCACAACAGCGCAGAGAGAATCATTAACGTCACACACATTTTGAACCAAAGTGAATGAAAATATATTTTTTAAAGGGGAGTTAAACCAAATAAAAAAAAGAAATCAAGAATACATTGTAGGTGGCAGCACTAGCAAAACCCTGGAACTCTGAATAATGTTGAGTTTGTGGAAGAAGATTTAAACGGAATAATTCATCAACGTAAGGGTAGCTTCGTGTTGGCTGAAAATCGTTTTCACTTCAGACCATAAGTGACCCTGAAGCGCAAAGTTGTGCCTTGCCTGCTAATAGAGTAGCCATTGTGTTGCCTGAGACATTGCTGAGAGCGATGGATTTCATAATTTACTTCCGCTAATGATAAGCTAATATTGACCTTGGCCTTTGTTAAAAGTATATTAGTATGAAATATATTTGTAACTTATCAGTAATGTTATTTGTTAGTTTTCACAATGGAGTCCTGAGTTTTGTTTTTGACTTTTGAGGTCTGCAGAATAAATTACAATACATCCAAATTACATTTCAGTCGAGTTTTATTATTTTTATTTTTTAATTATATTTTATTTTATATTATATTTTATTGTATTAATTTAGCTTGAAACATCAAGACAAAAAAAAAGTTTTCCATGATACAAAACATGAATTTAAGAAATAAAAACTATTGGTTCTATTAAAAAAAAAAAAGAGGTAATTAAAAGCAATTGTTCTTTCATTACATTGTCATATTTTGATTCTTTAATAAAAACTTTGAGTTCCCTGGCATTAACCGGAAAAAAAAACATGCTCCTCAAAATAAAGAAAATATGTTTTTCTGCACCAACATTTTTTTATTTAGTGCTCAACGACCACAATTCCACCTTTTCACAAAAATCCCCAAATTAAGAGATATTTTAAATCCCCCCCTCCCCTTTTTTCCCTCCATGTCGAGATCCGTTCAAATTATTCCAACTTCAAGTGTCACATTTCAACAATCAAACTAACCCCGCAGCATTTCAACGTCAGCTCGTATATATTCAAATGCAATTTCACCCTTTCAAGGACAACGGTTACTACAGTGGACATCTTGTCTTGTTATCAGGTTACGGTCTGGATGAAAGGGTTAAATTGAATTCTTTAGTGATATTGTCTTTTTAGAATTCACCATCAAAGATTCACCGAAGATAAACACAGCGGTCTACCGGTATCAACAGAAAAAAAACATTTTTGTTTCCCAGGTAACAGTGATTGGCTTCACTCTCGGTATCCCCGACGTCATCATGGGCATCACCTTCCTGGCAGCTGGGACAAGCGTTCCTGATTGTATGGCCAGCCTCATTGTGGCAAGACAAGGTAGTCAACACACACACACACACACACACACACACACACACACACACACACACACACACACACACACACACACACACACAGTGCCATTTTGTTCCCGTTATATCTTAGTGAAAACTGGGTGGTGGTGTAGGGAGACGGCTCAACAGGGATCTTTCAACAATCATTTGATCTGTGCTTTTTTGGGCTCCTGTCATCAAATATTTAAACAGGTTTCTGGGCTTGTGGAAACATGCGCCTTTTCCATCACTCTGCTTCACTTTGTGCTCTTGACATGTCAACCTTTCTTTGGGACATCAGTCAGACACGTGACGTCGCCAGCCTCACTTTTTGAACCCCTTGCCGAGCTGCCCACGTTGTCTCCATAACCTTCGTTTTCTACCGTGCGTCTTTCTGTCGCCTTATAAATTCATCCCTTTGCTTCTGTGCAGGAATGGGAGACATGGCGGTGTCCAACTCCATCGGTAGTAATGTGTTTGACATCTTGGTGGGCCTTGGCCTCCCCTGGGCCCTGAAGACACTTGCTATTAACTACGGCTCTGATGTAAGCAGCAAAAATAAAAATGGGTCCACAATACAATAGAAATAAGCGAAACTGCACAGTTTATTTTGGTTCAACCACGGTCACGACATGGTTTGGTATGTTTCGATGCTGGCTTTTTCCTAAACTCACAGTTCCCTATTCGTTTTTTGATGATTTACATCCAAAGCAAATTTTAACTCATTCACTCCCAAAGACATATTTATATGTCTTTTCACCCTCCACACGTTCAACCCCAGATCCTTTTTTTTTTCAATTTTTCCAAGACTTTGGGTAAAAAAAAAGGGGTCTGGAATTGGCTGGTATGAGTTAATAGAGTTCTGTGTAATCAGTAGCGCTCTATCAGTGTTTATTTCCAGAGTTAGGAGTGTTGGGCTCCAGCTCACCTTCTTGGTTTTCTTTCAAATCGTTTCCATCAATTTGAATGTCAACAAGTCGAGACAGCAACTGCCGCCCATTCTGAAACTCTTTGCGACCATCGAAATTTTCCAACTGCTGAGCTGAGCGCAATGAAGCCAGATGCTAATGCTAATGCTAGCCCTCTGCCGGCGGTGACGCTCGTTCCCATCGAAGGCAAATCTAATGCATGAACATAGAATATAAGCCATTTTTTAACCTTTTGTTAGGAAAATTTCACATCCATAAAGGTACATTTCTGAATTCCATTCCATTAATAAATGATTTTTGATTGAGGTAGATAATTAGTTTAAGTCTTTTGATCTAATAACAAATAAATGTAGCCCAATAATTGCTATACATTCAGAAATGTTTAAAGGCAGTGGTTCTTAACCTTGTTAGAGGTACCGAATCCAACCAGTTCATATGCACGTTCACCGAACCCTTCATTAGTGAAAAATAAAAATATGATTTTTTTATAAATTCAAGACATTTAAAAAAACACATTTATGAGAAACAGAAAAAAGTAAATAAAATTACAGGGTAAGTATAGTTGTTTTAAATTGTATGATGTACAGTACTATCACAACAGTCACACGGCAACTACTGAGCGAACTAAATTTGCCGCATCACTGATTTGGACAAGCAATGTAAAGTCATCATCTGCAGCCAGCATGGACACGCGGGTGTGTCATAACTAATTGACATCTTGAGTCGGGTGTGTCTTAACCCCCATGGCAGAGGCTCCGTCGAATCCCTGAAACCGATTCACCGAACCCCTAGGGTTCAACCCAGTTTAATAACCACTGTTTTAAAGAGTAAATCACGGATATCACTGTTTTGAAAGATGTATTATTTTTCTTTATTATTACTATTATGATTTTAAAAACATGATGCTTATCACATAAAAACGTATCAATAATGGGCAAGTAAGAACATGTAAAAGAGTATTTTTACATTGCTCGTTACTTTCAAGTCTTTACGTGATAATATCACATTTCTACATGATAATTGTCACGTTTTTGTGTGAGAAATTTGGTGCTGGTGAGGGAGGGGGGTGGGTGGTTCCCTGGTATGGCAGCAATACGCTTCCGTAATAGCTCGATTCACCGAACCCCTAGGGTTCAATCGAACCCAGTTTAATAACCACTGTTTTAAAGAGTAAACCACGGATATCACTGTTTTGAAAGATGTATTATTTTTCTTTATTATTACTATTATGATTTTAAAAACAAAAACTTATCACATAAAAACGTATCAATGGGCAAGTAAGAACACGTAAAAGAGTATTTTTACATTGCCCGTTATTTTCAAGTCTTTACGTGGTAATATCACATTTCTACATGATAATTGTCACGTTTTTGTGTGAGAAATTTGGTGCTGGTGAGGGAGGGGGGTGGGTGGTTCCCTGGTATGGCAGCAATACGCTTCCGTAATAGCTTGCTCAATTCTCAAAGCCCTTTCATGCTTTTTTTTAATCAAGGCCAAAATTTGTGCTATCATTACAGAGCATATATTTTTGATTTTTATTCTTTTATTTTTGTAACGCCAGTGAACGGAACATAGTGACCCTCCACAGGCGTGTCTTGTGATGATCTAGCCATTTTCTCAAATCATTCAATATTTGTTGATTCATATTTCCCCACTGTGGGACGAATAAAGGTTATCTTATCTTATATTATCGTTGCAGTCTTTTGGGAATGTTTAATTTTCATTCGGTAATGCAGCTCATAAATTATACATGATAGTGTTGGGCACTGCTGATATTTGTCTAACAATTGTGATATTCATGTTTTTTCTGCTAGTAGTAATACAAGTATATTACTTTGTTGCAGATCAAATTATACAGCAAAGGACTGATTTTTTCTGTCGGGCTCCTGTTGGCATCTGTTTTTCTGACGGTGAGTGTGTGTCTAAACCTCTCATCACTTCCACCAAAGGCCGCGGTTTTCCTAGGCAAAGCAACAACACCCAAACATCTTGCAAGACTTTGTAATGGCATTGGCAAATAATGCATTGGTCCCTTAAATGAATGTGCATGTCACAAATTGAAATTGTCACTGCCACCAAGGAGGTAAGTTTTGGGGGTAAAATATTTTAGACCTCGGTCTGTCACCACAAGTTTCAAGTGAACTGACACTCAAGTGTGAAGTACTTTTTTTCCAGTACTGGACTTGGACACAAACGTACAATAGAAAAATACAGTATTTTCCACATTATAAGGCGCACCTAAAAGCATTCAACCTTCTCAAAAGCCGACTGCTCCTTATAATCCAGCGCAGCACTTTATATATACAGATATATGGATCAATATTCTCATTTCTTGGACGTAGTATTTTAAATGTTCTGTCAAGCACTTTGTAATAGCTGCAGCGGTTGTGAAGGCTCTATATGAATCAAGCTGTATTGTATTGTATCCCCTTTAGTGTAGCTCCATCTAGTGGATGCATAATGCAACCCCAGCCATCATTGTTGCGTCTATTTTATGTGCCTTATAATGTGATGTGCCCTATATATGAAAACAGTTTTAAAATAGGCTATTCATTGAATGTGCGCCTTCTAATCCGAAGCACCTTATAGTGCAGAAAATACGGTAAATGTTAAGTATATTTCAGTCTAGCTACAATAATGACTGTGATTGCACTATGCATCCACTCGATGCTTCTACGCTAAAGGGAAAACAATACAATTCAATACAGCTTTATTTATATTGAGCCTTCGCAACCACTGCAACTGCAAGAAAGCCACTAGAACTGCTCACAAACCTGGACATGAAACAAAAGTACACTTAAATGAAAGACAAAAGTTATGAAGACAATGGATTCAACAAAAAGGCACACAAACCTCATGGGCTCGCATCCACAAGGGGCTAAATTGAGCTTCGAAGTCTAGCTTGTGTCCTCCTTCCTTCATTTATTCAGTAGTTAACTCTGCTTCTGGTATTATCGTCATTTCATAATGGCTGCGCAGAGCTTGCCTTCGCAACCACTGCAACTGCAAGAAAGCCACTAGAACTGCTCACAAACCCGGACATGAAACAAAAGTACACTTAAATAAATGAAAGACAAAAGTTATAAAGATAATGGATTCAACAAAAAGGCACAAAAACCTCATGGGCTCGCATCCACAAGGGGCTAAATAGAGCTTAGAAGTCTAGCTTGTGTCCTCCTTCCTTCATTTATTCAGTAGTTAACTCTGCTTCTGGTATTATCGTCGTTTCATAATGGCTGCGCAGAGCTCAGAAAGTAGTTGTCTGTTTGAGTGTGTGTTGGTGAATGCACACTCAATTAGTGTCAGGCAGAACCCTTTTATGTTACAAATGGCTCCTGCTAATAATCACCACTAGATGGCATAGGAACACTAACGGGGAAACAACTCAATGGGGACTATAAAGAGAGTTAAAGTTTCTTTATAGTCGGCGCATTGGATTATCGGGCGCATTGTCGGCTTTTGAGAAATACAAATGCTTTTAGGCGCACCTTATAGTGCGGAAAATATGGTAACTTGCTGCTTTCTTGGCCAGCTTGCTATTATCAAAGATGTTCTGTTTCAACGAATCTTTTACCTGTTTAGAAAGAAAAAAAAAAGTTGAATCATAATACTGTACTACAAAAAGTGTTTGTCTGGCCACAGTTTTTGGCCCCTTGAGTAAATCCGAGTATTTTGAATGGTTCATTAATACATGTGCTTGTCTGTGTGTTCAGGTTATTGGAGTTCACCTCAACAAGTGGACACTGGACAAGCGCCTCGGTCTCATGTGTCTCCTCCTCTACTCCGTCTTCCTGTGTTTCTCTTGCCTCATCGAGTACAACATCTTCACCTTTGTCAACCTGCCCACCTGCAGGGATGACTAAGTTACACCCACACGCGCGCACACACTTTCAAATGACACGTGGCATTTGAATATGAGATATGTGGCAGTGCAACCGGAATGAGAAGCAAAAGTGCAAATTGAATTAACAAGAAGACTTATTTGCAGATATCCTTCGCGTTCCTGCATTCTTGAGTGGGGAATCACACCTTTATTTATTTATTTATTGACAAATTGTATTTATGAACCCTACAGTGGACAGCTTATGAGGAAATCAGGTTACACGGTGCATGAAAGGGTTAATGTGAAAAGCGGACATATAGGAATGAGTGACTGGGACGACATCCAAGACGAAAGCGGCCACAACCGCAAATTTCTGCTCGGGTAGACTTTTTTTTTTTTTCCTCCGATGACAATATCTCCAAGTCGACAGTAATCATTCCGTAGGCAACATTTGACACGAATGGAAGGTTGCAGTTGAGCACTGTGGCACTGATGTGATTCCAAGTCGGTAACGTGCCATCTGCTCGGAAGCGCCACGTTTGTTCGGCAGCCGAGACGATGTCTCAACTGTCGTTATCTGAGCATATCCTGGATTATGTTCCATTATTCCAGATCCAGAATTGATAGCGTTGAGCGATGGGACATATTGTCTACGTTTATTTATTCTCTACATATCCAAAACACACCAGGGCATTAATTATCCAGTCATATTTTGTAAATGAAAGCGTCACAGCTGATGTACGGAGGTTTGTATTTCAAAAGACTTTGTTAGCTTTATGGAGAGTTTTTGGTTCCCCCCTTGTAAATAGTTTTCTGTAAATAGCCTCGGATGGCTCATATATTATTTATTGGTGTCATACGCACATTCCTCTTCTGGAGGTCACGGAACCCTCGACAGGTTTATTTATGGTGCCAGGGGCGCTGCAATCCACTCTTAGGAGGGAAACACTTCTTTACAGATGTGTACCGACAAGCACAATTGCTTTTGATTGCTTTTTTTTTTGTTGTTGTTTTTTAAATGACTCGATTTTAGATGCACCGTGTGTTGATACTAGGAAATAAAATTTTAAAAAAAAATTACCTTGCACTGTCGAGCCTAAACTAGCTTCAGAGGAAGACCTCTTGGTCTCGGTGACTCTTTTGTTGTGCTCCAAAAATGCTCCATTGCTGATTATAGGGATGCGTTTCCTTGTAAGATGAAGCAGTTGTGTCAAGTGTTCCGAGAGAGCACTGCTCGAGTGTTGATCGGGAGTGACGGCGTCGTCGCATTGAAGCAAAGTACGGAAAATCATTGACTGCTGCTTTTCGCTCCTTTAATATGATGACTTAATTCAAAACACTGATGGCATTATTTGACGAGCCTCTCTTTGGTAGATCGATGTCTTGCTTCAAGATGTAATATATCCTAGTTGGGGTACTTTATTTTTGGGGTCGAGAAACTTTGTATTTTCTATCACCTAATGTTTAGATTTGTCCCAATTTGGTAGTTTGTTGGAAATGAATATTTTTACTAGATTTTAGGACATGTAACATGTACGTTTGTGAACACTCCTGAGGACTTTAACTCCACTGCAGGAGTCCACAAACAGCACAGAATTCACACTTATTCCTTAAAAGACTTCCACAACTGTTAAAACCTGTTGACTCTTGCACAGTACGCTTTAAAAATAGATGCTTTTTTTTCTGCTTCTAAATTTATAAGACAATGTATTTTTCCCCTCATTTATTCAATTTATTTTGATTAATCATGAGAAAAAAAGATTTCAATTGTATCGAAATGTTAATTTTTTTTCATTTTGTTTGATTTTTGTTTTGTTTTGGTGGGTGTCGCTCATTTATTTATTTCTGGCAGATTCATCTGTGCTGTTACAGGAAAACAGGATTTAAATTTGTTGAAGAATACCCGTATATATAATGCAATAATTATGATCATACAAACATGATAGTATCCCACTTGAAAGACTTTATGGGTTATAAAAAGAAAAGTACATGTCTGTGTCTTGTATGTAAGGTATGTCACTTTACCTGCTGATCTTGCATTTAAAATCTGTTAAGACCAGGATGAATACAAAAAGGACTGTGTATACACACGCACACACACACACACACACACACACATATATATATATATATATATATACACACACAGTGAAACTCCTCTACAACGAAATCATGTTTGCAGCAAGAAATTTTTCACAACAGGGGGTTTTTCACTGTAGCAAATTTGATCTCAGATGTAAGCGCGCGTGCGCACGCGCACACACACACACACACACACACACACACGCACACACACACACACACACACAAACGTATGTGTACTCTATTTTTATTCCAATAGTGCATAAGTATGAGCACACACTTATTTGACACTTCATATTGGTCAGTGTAGAAAGAAAAAAAGGGAAAGAAATTGCGAAATTTACGATCAGCATTCACTTTCACTCACATCAATTTCTTGGATGTCTTTTATTTTGCTTGCTCCGTCTTTCATTTTGATCACTTTTACCCTCTCTTCCAGCATCAGAGCTCTTCTTGTCTTAGCTGCTTAACATCCAAAGGTCCGTTTTGTAGCCATTTTAGCAATGCAACGTCCATGCTCGTCTGAATCTAACAACAAATACTTCCTGGACCCGGTGGCTTTTCTTTCCACCATCTCACTGTCTCTATTTCTTTCCACCATCTAACTAGAACTCCCCTCGATCGCCACCCAAGACAGCGTTGCTCAGCTGATGTCATGCAATAAACTTTTAAAGCCAGTCACGGGACGCTTCGTAGTCCTCGATGGCCATCGTTAGCGCGATGGAACTCGCCTTCTCTCCAATTAGCGCTCCAGTTAACGTAAGGTTTTTAGCATGATAACAAGTAAAGCATTCCAGGAAACGTTCGTTTATTTGACTGTCCGTCGAGCCACAAGCAATTTACTCTGAGCAGCTCATCGGATGCTCGGTAAACCAATGTCAGAGCAGCTATGAGTATGTTACGTTCAGGAAACTCGCAGCTGTCACCGAAATAAACATCGTTCACTATGTAAACGAGTGTAGTGGTTGCTGTTGCAGTTTCCGAACGAATCAGTAGAGGTCGCTGTTGGATTACACTTCGTTGAAGTGAATGTCTTCACGAGGCTGGAGCAGAGAAAATGATTTCGTATAACGCAACAGGGTTTTTTTTCATCGTATGGGGGGCAGTAGAATGGGAATGGTGTTAATGCATTAACACCATTCCCATTCTACTGCCCCCCATACGATGAAAAAAAACCCTGTTGCGTTATACGAAATATTTTTCTCTGCTCTTGCCTCGCAACGAGATTCACTACAATGAATTCTAATCCAACAGCGACCTCTACTGCTATATATATACACACACACACACACATTGTATGAAAGGTCTCCTCCACACTTGAAAATAATTCACTGAGGAAAATGCGGACAGGACTAGCTAGCACCAAGCTTCTCTGTTTTGTTTTGTGGCAAAATATTGTTATTTACAGTATATTACAGTACTGAAATATGTTTCAGTTTTTTCCTGGAGACCAACATGTTATGTTTGCATGCCGAGTAATTGATACAAAATGGAATGCAAGGCATTGACGATTCAGGATAATCCAGGCAAGTCACCCAAGAATAGCAGTTGATGGATTATTTCATCCATTTATTTCAGAGGTGTCAAACTCATTTTGGCGCAGGCCACATTTGAGTTACCATTTCTCTTGGAGGGCCGTTATGACTGAAATCATATTAAGAAGTCAAGAATAACTATTGATTCAACGATTGTTTAAGTTAATATCATGAGGGGTTTGGTAACAAGAAAATGCTTAGAATATATATCTTATTTATTGCATATGAGAAGAAAAAATGTGGTTAGACATTTTAGAAAGGATCATGGAAGTTGACTTTCGCGGGCCACATCAAATGATGTGGCGGGCCAGATCTGGCCCCCGGGCCTTGCGTTTGACACCTGTGATTTATTTGATCAAAGAAATGTAGTCCAGTGCACATCCCTTGTTTGGACCTTTCCACATTCCAATATTTGTCGGCAGATGCAGCATTTTCCATGTCTGGGATGTAAACTTTTTTTGGAGTATCGTACGGAACAGAACAACATATTTATTACCACGCACTTTATCCCACAGTACATTGTTACCTGTTTGTTTTGAAATGTTTCTCTGCTGCTATTTCCAACAGATATGTAAAACCAAAACAATATACAGTACGACACCGCATGGTTTTAAACTCACCAAACCGCCCGCCACAACAATATTTGTATTTGGAAACAAAATGTTGTCTTGGAGATTCTCACATGTGTGATACCCGTATAGAGGATATATCGCAGATGTATTATATGTCTATAATAGTTGTAAATGTATATATATTTTTTGTCTCCATATGTACAGTATATTTGTTGAAACTATTTTCATAGATCGTAGGACGCCTGTGTACTCCTCTTTGTTTTGTTGTGCGTTAGACCTCTGAAGCTATTTGTTTACTCGCATGGAGATTCATGTTCAATAGAGAAACGATTTATAGGACATCTTAATGTATATTCGGATAGCATTCCCAAGCACTGGATTTTTTTCAAATAATTACCAAGTAGACATGCATGCTCTTGCTTGGATGCAGTGGGATTGAAAGGGGGCGGAGAGGAGCGCTAGTTGCAGAATACATTTCTTTATTGGTGCAAAGTGTTACCACTTCTGAAAACAAGGAAAACTTCAACTGGATGGTTTGCTTTGTGTTTAGATGTATCAAATGTCATTTTAGAGATCATTTTGCTACCAGAGCATTAATAAATATGTATTTGCTAGAGGCAACTAAACATGTGTAAGCATGATTATTCCTTGTACCAAATGACTAAATCCTAATCAATGAGATGGCCAATTGTGTAAGTTTTCAATCAACATTACAAGTTTTAATATTTAACAAGCAATGCTGAGAGGAACAAAGCAAATTGGATCTGGAATTTGGTTGTCTCTATTTTACACAAAAACTTAAGTCACGGTTTGTTTACTACAACAACAAATAGTGCAACATATATCAAACCTAAATCTGCTTAAAATGATACATTCAACACAAATTACAAGGATTAACATCCTTCTAACTTCAGAAATGCATCGCACCACACAATGCAATCTGGGAACAAAAGGTATGCAAAATATGTAAAGGGGCCTTATCGGTTGCATCCAGCCACCTTTCCTAAACAGTCGTAAAATTCAACTCAGCCTATCCTCCGAGTACTTCCGGTTCATCTCACTCGGATATGATCGGATAAATTTCCCTTGGCCAAAAAATGAGAATTCGAAGAGGCCCCAGGATTCAAAACCGGGTGTGGGAAGTTTCCTTTGCCAGATTGTTTTCTGATTTTGGACAAACAAGCTGCCAGAGATGTGCCTACAAAGGTATGCGGAGCTGGCTATGTCGAGGTGCGTGGACATGCTTCCTAGAGGAGGACAACCACAGACGACGCATGCACTGGCCAGTAAAATTCACTTGCCACGGAACTAATAATTCAGCTCAACGGCATCATTGTTTCTACTGACCATCTATTGGGGTGTTCACACAGCACACATTTGCATCGGTGCTGCACCGACGTATTTTGTTGCGATATATCTTACACCGGTGTAAATTTTGTGGAGCATTCATATGTAAAAAGCCTCACTTGCGTTCACACGGCAGTTTCTGCGGCCGTGCAATACGGTAATAATAATACGGAAATAAAACATGCTAATGCGTAAAGTGTACTTCCTTTTCCCCGCCTTGTTTGTGACATATGGAAAAACCATGGTTTATTACTTCTCCAGACAAATCAGTCACCGTAAAAGGACGAGAGTAGAGAGAAAGGAAAGATGACGGAAGTACAACAGAGAACGAAAGCAACGCATTCAATACCCTTCTGTAATCAACTCTTCTCACGGGTAGCGAGTATACCCTCTGTAGCGTTTACACGTCCCATTTTATATCGGTCTTGCCCCACAAACTAGCATATATTCCAGAGTAAATTTTTAAACCATCTCCTGAGCAGGGTTAAATTTGCTCTGGTTTAGGTTGTTTTCAGGGGCTACACCGGTATAACTTTCAGTGATGAAAGTCCTCCGGATTTTCCCGGAATTCCGAATTTTCACATTTTCATGAAAATTGAGCAATAATTGCCTAAAATTAATCCGGATATTAGTTGACAACATTGAATGAACACGCGTTTGAGTTCGTTGTTTTGCTTTCACGAGCGTAGCCATGTTGAGGCACTAACACTAGTAACAGAAAAGAGATTTTCATCTCTTTATAAACACACTCGCTAAACCCCAGTGGAACGAATAAAAGACATCGTGGACAAGACAGTTGGTGTAGTAAAAAATATATATGTATTTGGACAAAAAGGGAAACACACAGATTAGCAGAAAAACGTGTCCGTCCGACTTCGACCGTCGTGTCTTCTCGGCTAGCTTAGCTTCGCTGTTGTCGTAGCTCAAAGCTTCTTTGATCTGTGACGTCGGTTGCGTCGGCGCTGAGTGGTTGAAACCAAAAGACATGAGTACATGTCCTAGCTGACGCACGAACAGCAGAGAGCAGTGGACTATCGACTGCTGCTGCTGCTAGCTATAAAATTTTTTTTTAAAAATCCCGAATTTTCAGGAAAGTCCACTTTCATCTCTGAACTTTGTACGTGTGAACGCTCTACAGGGGGCAGCCCCGGTGCTACACCGGAGTAAAAGTTGCCGTGTG